GCCCCGGACGGGCCCTCGCTTCTGGCCTTTTCTTTCCCAGGGTGGGGGGCGAACACTTTAAAATCCACTTAGGCTACAAAATAATTCTCCCGTCACTCCCTCTGCGTTTAGGTTTAAGGTTTTGGAAAAGCGAAACTTGGGAGAACGAGGGTCACGCGGCGCTTGGGCCCGTGTTTGCGGTGGGGGAGGGATCCGGGGGGGGGGGGAGGACGCCGGTGTAGAGATCGGGTGTTGGGTCCTCCCTCGCACCGGCCGCCGCCGCCGCCTAGGGTCTGGTGCTCCGAGCGGGGTTAGGACCCATCCCTCCGTCCCCGCTTCCCCCGCGTCCTCTCTTCCCGGCCCCCTCCCACCGGCAGCCCCGGTTGCATTTTGTTTTTGTATTTTTGCAGGGAGGAGCCCTTCCTGCAGGCGTGGAAACCATGGTGCTCACGCTCGGAGAAAGTTGGCCAGTATTGGTGGGGAAGCGATTCCTCAGTCTGTCCGCAGCCGACGGCAGCGACGACAGCCACGACAGCTGGGACGTGGAGCGCGTCGCCGAGTGGCCCTGGCTCTCTGGGACCATTCGAGCTGTCTCCCACACCGACGTTACCAAGAAGGACCTGAAGGTAAAATCAGCTCCCGGGCCTCAGCTGTCGGGCGTTTTGTAGTTACCTTGGTAACGAGACGGCCAGTGGGGGCCCCCCTCCCCTCTTCTGAAAAGGGCGACCAGAAAGTTGGCATCTGATCTGAAGGTGCAGAATACTAGACCTTGAAAGTCTTTGAAATGGTTGTGTAGAACCGAGGTGTGTTTGGTTTCCAGTTGCTTGAGTTTAATGACGGCCTTGGGGTTGCTCAGACACGCTTCGTTACTGCCCGCTCTGTGCCCTAGTAGGACTGTATGGTTATTTTTCCGAAGGGGGAGTATTGATAATATTAGATTGGTCAGGTAGGTGATGTTAGGAATCATTAAGAATTGAGAGCTACCGCTTCCAGGTGGTTTTTTTGTTTGTTTGTTCCTCTTAATTTTTTCACCCAACTTGTTAAACTTTCAGACTTGATAGAAATGAAGTGCGTGAAGAGGGAGGAGCCTAGTTCTGTTTGGCATATTAGGGTGGGTACTTGTCCGTATATGGTGGGTCAGGGTGGAAGTGGGTTCCTGGTCGCCTGTGATGAGCCTGTAGGTAGGTGTGGGCTTTGACCATATATGGAGGGCAGGGGTGGAGCCGACCCTTATATGGTGTGTTAGAGGAACGGCTTTGAAATATTCCACTTTGGTGTTGGGGGGATGGGGAGGGAGAAAACGGGAACAAGTGTGGACAGTGATTTTTAATCAGAATGACACTCAGAACCTTTTTCAGTTAGATCTTTTCAAAAAGAGATGAATTCTAATTGTACTCCCTAATTGAAGTATTAGTGGCAAAGGATTGTCTGGGAACAACCAGTGAGGAAGCTATTCTACCAACAAAGACTCCTTTGTGCAAAAATAACTGGAGAAAGGTCCTTAACAAAGACTCCAAAGTGGTGATAATTTGAAGGAAGCTTGTTAGAAGAGATTTCCACCCTGGATAGTGGATATGTTTTAGTATCTTCACTGGATCATTATGGCTTTTTCTTGAAAACTGTGTTCAGATTGGAAAGCAAGTTTTAGCATTGGCAGTTGAATACATGTTGATTTCTGACACCCCACTCATTTGAACACTTTAAGGTGATAGTACATGTCCAAACCAGTTTTAGTCTGCAAAGGGTTGTTGGAAAAGGATATGTGGTCATATATTTTTAAAGCTTCCAGCATGCCTTGTCTTCATGTTGAAAAGGAGTGACTGTTGAGCACTTAGCCACGTGCCAGGCATCCTACTGAACACTTCTTAGCCATGATCTTATTAATCCTTACAGCAGCTCTTCAGGAGTAGGTACTAATATTGCTGCATTTTACAGACAAAAATATCGGGGTTGGGGGAATTAAGTATCTCACCAAGGTCACATACCTAGAAATTGGCATAGCCTGTGTTCTAACCTAGGAAGTTTTGATACTTGAGCCCACCGTCTTTACCATTATTCTCCCTGTGCCACAGAAGGACTCCTGTCATACACTGTGAAGTTTGGTTTTTCATTCCTCCCAGCAAACTGGATTTTGCTGTTTATAGAAAGAAAGTAGTGTGGTACAAAGATGGCCAACCTATTTGCTTCGGGCTAATCTTTCTCCATAAAGTGGGCTTTGTGTACCAGATTTCAGTCATAGTTGTTGTGGTTTATTTCACCTGCCAAGTAGAATTTTCTCTAGTGCGTTTGTTTTTATCTCGTTTGAATGGAAACAAGATTTAAGTCTTTAGTTCTTTGGCAGATGATGACAGACTAGGTGTTCTCTTCCCCAGCAGGACCTAACTATAGACCCATTGGATTAGGAAGGCAGTCTAGGAGGTCCTTTTTGGGTATTCTTTTTAATCTCCACTTTTTGCCACCCCCAATCTTTGAGGTGGTGGTAATATCTTCGTTTTCAGAATGAGAAGCTAGATTTGGGAAAAGGAGTGTTGTCCAGATTTGCATAATTAGCTACTCAGTGATGGAGGGAGGATTTGAATCTAGAGTTGGCTTTGTCTTTTCCATTGCACTAAGGTGCCTCACCTGAAGATAAACAGGGATTTTTCATTTGAAGAACAATTTTCACTATATTTGATTTTTGGTTTACCTGCAGACTTTGTAATTCAGCCTTCATGTAAGGTGCAGATTACTTGATTTCTTTTATCTAATCATGATTTATCATTATGCTCCTTAATTGAGTAACAGATGGTTTAAGTTTTAAGGGCATCTTGTATTAGCAAAAACATAGACTTTCAAAATACTAGAACCAAATCCTGGTTGGGGAAATGCAGGCAGGAGCTAGTAACGAAGACCATGATTACAGTTGGGCTTAATGTATTAAGTTTTGGGGGGTAAAATGGGACTGGGGTCTAAGATGAATATAAATGAATAAAATTCAAGTAGTATGCAATTGGTTTGGTTTTAGAAGTACAAGTTTGTCTAGATTGATTTGCTGTTAGTTGAGGATGATGTTAATGAGGCCAAGACTTGTTAACTTTGTTTCACCTCGAGAGAGACTTTATAACACAGTCACTCATTTAGATACAATATGTCTAGTTGTTGATTACAAAGAGGGTAAAGACAAAGTAATGATTAAATGCTTATTATGTGGCACCTTATTTAATTCTCACAAACATCCTAGATGGTAAACCACATTTTTTAGTGTTAGAAATTGAGGCTTGAAGAAATTAAAAAACTTGCCTAAGTTTGTCTCTAGATCTTAAACAGTGGACTTTAACATTCAGGTAGAGTGAGATTAAAGCACTGTATTTTGTGGGCCTTTATATCTTTAACACTTAGAACACTGCTTGGCATGTAGTGTTTGCTGAAATACTTGAATGAATAAATGCAAGGAATCACAATTCTACATTGAAAAGCAGTTTTAGAAATAATCTACTGATGGAGCAGTGGCATTCTCTTGCTCTAGAATAACAACAAATCTTTATTAGTATGGTTATAAGAACCTCTTTTTATTTTACTCTTTCTACTTGAGTGTGAGACAAGTATCTTCATTGTACATGCTGGGAATGTCTTTCTTCCCCAGCTTGTCTGTCTAGGTCTTTCTAGTTTCCTTTCTTCGAACCTAACTTATACTTGAGTCTTCTGCTGCTTCTTAGTTCTTAGGGATATCCCTAAGTAGCAGATGAGTAGTACTTGCCATCTCTGTATACTATTTCCTGCTGTTAAAATTCCCTTTTTGGCAGTTGGGTGCTTTGACCAATGCCTAGCCTTTTCATCCTTACATGTAATTGGAATTCTGCTGCCAGTCAAACCATGTAAAATGAGAAATTCCTACCAGTGTAATAAAATCTGTTTACCCCCATAATTGAATGCTAAACTCTGCGATTTTAGGTAAGTATTTTATTTAGGTGTAAGAAGACATAAGCAGAAGCATAAAGTAATAATTTTCTAATTTGTGGAGAGTGGAGTAAGTGGTATTCTGCATTATTAGTGCTGAGCATAGAATAGATATGTCATTAAAAACTTGACTAACAACCATGCCATTCTGTAAGTGCCTACTTTTAAACTTGGAAATATTTTACTTGGCCTTTCTGATGGTTTTCATAATCATATACTCAGGTGAGATTAATGTATGTTAAGAGCAGGAGGTTTTGAGATTAGCTTGATTAGATATAATATTCATGTATTAAAAAGATCTTCTGTTGGGGAAAAATTAACTTGAAATAATTAATTTGAAATATTCAACATCTGGTCCAGATATTTAATAGGCTAATAAGGTACACATTTACAAAATGTCCTATTAAAAAAATAGCAAGTTTGGAAATTATAGGTAGTGAATCATAATTAATCGGCCTCTTTTTGGCCTTTGGAATCAGACAGCATAAATAACATCTACTTTGTGTGCCAAAGGAACATGAGGGGAATAACACAATTTAAATGAGAACTAGTTACATCATTAAGCTTGCAGAAGCTTGGTCAGGTCACTTTAGTTCCCCCTAAATTTGAATTTTTATTGGTGTCCCTTTCTGGGGGGGGAGGGGCAGAGGGAGAGGGAAGGACAGAGAGAGAGAGAATCACAAGCAGGCTCCATGCCTAGCGCGTGAGCCCAGTGTGGGGCTCGATCTCACAACCCTGAGATCATGACCTGAGTTGAAAGCAAGCAAGAGTCAGATGCTTAACCCACTGAGCCACTCAGATGTCCCTGGTGTGTCTTTTTATAGAAATTTTTGCATAGGAGGCTTGGGGGGAGGGGTCCCTTACATAGAGATCCTCAAGCTTCAAGGCACAAATGAGAGACCTTTGTGGTTATGATAGGAAACTTTTGAAAGAGTGAAGAGAGCTTACAACTTGTTGGTTTCATTGTATTTTTTTAAAAAGTCACCTTTTTTCAAAGTAAAGTTACTGTGAGTTTTTGACCAACGCAGCCTAAACTCCGAAGTGATAAACTAAGTTATTTTTAAGGAGCTAAACTTAATTTTTGAATCACTCAAAAATTGGGATATAAAGAAGAAGGGGTCGTGTCTAAATTCTGGTTTAGGGTTGATCATAAGCTTTATAGATATAGTGATAAGTTTTGGAAAGCTACTGAACATCTTAATCCTTTACTTTTTTTTTTTTTTCTGAATAGATATTGGATAATCATATTTAGGATCTTCTCTCCCCCATTCCTAACTGAACTGATACTCTGATACAAAGTAAGATTTGAATTACCATGGAAGTCTTAAAGCTGCCTGATCTCCTTGCCAGATACTTTACATACCTTGTCTTAAGATTTTACTAACAATTCAGTGAGGGGTAGGTGTTAGTATTTTCATTTTGGAGCTAGCAAAACCAGTTTCAAAGAGCTTAGATTTAAGCAGGGGTTCTTAACCTGGCATGCAGGCTAATTGGTTTTCTTTGTAATGCTACATATATTGTTTTATGCAGGTAAAATCATTCTAAAAAAGCTTCAGCATAGCTGGGATTCAAACCCAGATTTCTCTGGTGCTGTAGTTTGTATATGCTCATTCCTCTTACACCACATTGATGGGAAAACTCATCTAAATCTCGTGTGGGTTTGAGGTTGATGTGATGTGGGGCAGAAAGACTACCCAATTCAGGGGAGCTATCATAGGACCTGTATTCTGTGACTGGGAAGGCAGGAAGATGAGCAGTCTCTAAACAGTTCTGTGAAGGACCATTGGATTGGATATAGTGATGGATGGAATTCCTAGAACCAAGGAGAGTGACAGGGCCTTGTCACATAATAGGTGCTGACACATCGGTATGGATTCTGTGATAACTGGAAGATTAAAAGCCTGCCATACCAAGAAGAGCATCTTCTCAGGGGGAGTTGCCTGAAAGTTAGGGATGCAGATTTTACTGTAGCGGGAGAAGGGTAGGATGGGTTTTAAATTTCATTGATTTTTAAAGATTGAGATTATAAAGCCATAAAACTGGAGAAGGTTTGGGATTGGGACTAGTGGTATACCAGTTGGGAATGTCCTACCTGCTAAATGGTTGAGAGTAACAGAAGGTAAGAGGCCAATGCAGAGAGAAATTTATTCATTCAACAAGTATTTGAGTACTGACTGGGGACTGGATACCAGTGAAATACAGTGGTAAGTAAATACAGATGTAGACTTCGACCTATTAAAATTCATGTGAATCAGTTAGCCACAAATAAATAATTCAAAGTGTGGGTAAGTGCTAGGAAGGAAAAGTATAGGGCTTTGGGTACAATTAACAAGGGGAACTCTTTTTGTGGGGGGGTTGCTCATTGGTACGGGAAGGCTTCTTTGAAGAAAGGATTTTTTAATTTGAGTTCTGACAGATGAATGGAAGTTAACTCAACTTTTTTTTAAGTTAAAGCTTGGAAAGGGAGATGTGATTGTCTATGAAATTATGAACAGGGTTGATGTGTTCATTAACTGATTCTTTGAAGCCAAAACTGAGAGGCCTCTCTAGTAAGAAAAGGGATTTTAAGTCAAGTAAAAATAGTGATTTTTACACCAAATATTGAAGGAGTTTAGGGTCAGTTTATCAACTATTTGTTTCTATATTTAGCAAAGTAGTGTTTGACTCCAAACTCCCAGTTTATTCAACTGAAAGGGATGTTGAGGATGTGCTGTCTACTAGGCCTTGTAAGGCTAAATCCTATGCATACCAAAGGGATTCAAAACAAGTGGTGGATTATGCTGATGGTGGGGGGGTCATCTTAAGCCCACAGTGTCATTTTAGAATCACAATGACGCCCAATAGGTATTTTTTTTTAGGGTTTCAAATTTCTTTCTTTTGATTCTCAAAACTCTGATGTCTGACATATGTAAAAACCTTCTACATGGGGGTTCTTGCTGTATGGGCTTCCTAGAAGTTACTTTTGGGGCAGAGATTGGCCTCCTTGACTGCTATTTCCCAAAATGATGTGGAAGCCAAAGCTTGATGGTTAGATTAACCTGTTAGGTTGGTTTATTGTGGACTGTGAAAGGAAGTAAGAGTGGGAAAGAGGGACAGCACATTTAGATAAAGATTCAAGTAGAAAATTAAGGGTATAATTCAACTTTGGCATTTTTCATGTTTATTTTCGTTAATTGAATCTGCTTTTTTTCACTTCTATTTAGGTGTGTGTGGAGTTTGATGGGGAATCTTGGAGGAAGAGAAGATGGATAGAAGTCTACAGCCTTCTAAGGAGAGCATTTTTAGTAGAGCATAACTTGGTTTTGGCTGAACGAAAATCTCCTGAAATTTCTGAACGAGTTGTTCAGTGGCCTGCAATAGTGAGTACAGCTTGGGGTTATGAGAACAGGGTATTAAATCCATTATGAGTGAAACAAGGGAAATGTATATGGCCTTTAGAGAATAATATTTGGCCTTTGGAGAATAATAGTACAGATACATGGCAAGGTAGAGGAGTCAGAAGAGCACCCAGAATCTCCTGTCAGCCCTGCTAGGCACCCTATTACTCTGGGCCCCTGACTTTCTCCCACCTCATTTTCTTCACTTGAAAAATGGGGATGGAGGTAATGTGGGGAATGTCTAGGTCAGAGGTCAGAAATCAGCATATGTATATAGGCATACATATATATGTATATTTGACTTGACCTTTATAGAGTTTTAAGAAAATTTGAATTAGTTGTTTGCTTTTAAAATATGGAGAGTATACCTTAAAATCTGGCTGTTTCCTGGCTCCTGTAGGGGTTGCCAGTCTTGGCCTAATGATCTCTAAGGTTCTCTCTGACTCATAATATTCTTTGGCTCTGAAGGTACTGGCAGTCAGTACATGATTATGCCATTTCCACATCGTAAATCTGGGTGTAGTTAGAAGATGAGAGTGATCACAGTGTCTGGAGAGGACAATTCAGGTTTTGTGAGACATAGGGCTTAACAGTGGAAGTGCCAGGTTTAAACAGTTGGAAAAGCTAGAAGGTGGCTGAAAGGCTGACTAGATTGTGAAGGGTCTAGCATGCTGTGCTAGCAAAGTTAAGATTTTGCCTGTGGGTGAGAAGAGCTGCTGGAGGTTTTTGAGTGGTATAGGGTTTTGGTTAAAGTTGTATTTTGCTCTTTGTATCCCCACCCCCAGCTATTAAGAATTTCCTAAAAACATGGCCCTGTCTCCCCAAAAAAATGTATACACACAATTTTTCACATAAATTTTGGAGAAGCCATGTATGTCTTAACCCAGACCTATATGTTAATGACTCCCAAATGTGTGTCTGGTTTAAATGATTGATTTTGGATGAAAATTGTGCAATCTTGTTGTGGTTTCATAAATAGTTGTTATTGAGATACCAGCAGTAAGTAAAAAACTTAATGGTTTTATCTCTCTACATGTGTAGAAAATTGCTAGTCCCCATATTCAGAATTATGCTGATGGCAATTGTGACGCCAAGACATTTTGTTTTGTTCCAGGTGTATAAGTCTCTGTTGGACAAAGCTGGTTTGGGATCCATAACCTCTATTCGCTTTCTAGGAGATCAACAAAGAGCGTTTCTTTCTAAAGACCTTCTGAAGCCTATACAGGTAAAAGATAAAAACAATATTAAACTCTAAAGATAAAAATATAAATTTTTTAATATGAGAACTGAAATACTGATTTTGATTGCTCTAATTCTAGTAGATAACACAGAAAAGGACCCATCTCATCAGAAGTTAGTTGTTAGACATCATCCTTCAATGTTAACCATTGGGTTGGTGCTGTCCATTTGGGGTTGGAAGGACAGAGGTAGTACATTTGATGGTGTGTGTTTATGTATGGAAACACTAGGTGATACAAAAATAATTTTTAAAAATTTGTATATATATACATGTACATATATCCATATCCATGTATGGTGGTCATTATTTATGTATTCTGTGTGTGGGAAGTTGCCTGCTTGCTAGAATATATTTATAACCCCCAGATCAGTACTTAGGCACTTTCATGGTCATTCACAGACATTGGCAGAGTGGTGAAAAATTTGAGTTACCTGATAAGTCTTCCCAGCTGAAGTCAGATAAAGTGACACATTCTGCCTTCTTGTTTCATCTCTCATGCTGTAAACTGATGTGCTTTTTGAGGTCTCTTTAGTGCTGAATTTTTGTGCTTTTTTTTGTTGGTGATTTCACTATACCAAATGTAGTGCTGAAGTGCTATCTAGTGTTCCTAAGTGCAAGAAGGCCATGATGTGTCTTAGGGAGGAAATAAATATGTTAGATAAGTTTCATTCAGCTGTGAGTTACAGTGCTGTTGGCTCTGATTTCCAGATTAATAATGCAGTGGGATAAAATAATGTGTCTTCCACAGAAACACACTTAAAACATGATTGTAGTATATAGGTTGGTTGATGAAACTGACCAAGAGGCTCAAAGGAACCTAACCCTATCTTTCCACTAGGAACAGTGGTTCACTATTCATTTGTGGTGACTTAGTGAAACATAATTATCATGAATAATGAGAATTGAGAGCACATGCATGTTTCCACTTAGCTTGCAAAACTCCCACCCTTCATAACATTTAGGCTCTTGGGTCTTGCTTATATGTGATTATTTTCTTTATGAAAATATTTGGGAGAGAGGGAAAGAACACACAGATTATCTCTAGCTTACTCCCTTAGGAGTAATGTTGGTCATATAATAACATTTGTCTTCTAGATGTCATTTATGAAACTTAATCTCCTTTACCCACTTGGATTTGGTGACCTGCCATGTTTCTGTGGACTGTACAAAAATTAAAGTCACTTATTTGTTAAAAGGCAGTTTAGGGCCCATGGTCATTGCCATTGATGTGCCTGTATTGGAAAACCCAAAGCACTGGCTTTCTCCCTACTTAAGTCTCATTTTCGTATCGTGGAAGTAAGTGAAAACAAAGTCCACATTCTGAACCTTCTTTTAATGTTTAAGTAAATAGGACAAAGAAGGGGTTTTTGCTTAAGTTAATTTCAGATGCAGGTTACCTTCGTGATGTCAGGTAGGCATGTTGATATTTTTCCTGCCTTAAAAGGAAGAATGACTTGCTCTTAAGGACCAAGGAAGATACAGGAGGGGCTTTGGATACCTTGCTTTACTTAGTGATAGAGTAGTTTTTACTTCTCAGCATTGTTTTCTGGACAGTTCTGCTTTACATCTTTTGTGTGTCCAAGCTTTTCAGTCAAAGTAGAACTTGTAGAAACAAGGTAGGAACTTTAGTTTCTTGAGATTGGAAATGCAAGGTCTAGATCAGTTAGTTTTTATTTGTTCTCAGTGAGATGCACTGTGGCTATCAGTATGAATATTAATATTAATTGAGGGAGATTATGATGTGTGCTCTTAACTTTTACTGATGATAATAGTGGCCAAAGTTCAGTGCTCGGGGCATTCTCTTATAGATATGATTATATTAGGCTTCTACTGTATGAAACTATGTTGAGGACTGTGATTACTGTAGTAGAATGCTTGCCCTAAATAATGCACAGAGAACCTGAAAATCATTTGGCATATGTAGAAGTTGGATTTGAAACTTAAGGTCTGTTTTTTGGATTGAATTTGACTTATCCACCTGTGGGTAAGAAAAAAGACAAAATACCCAGGTCAACTGTCTGGCATTCAAACTCTCCTAGGCAGAGTAGAATTTTTCTACGTTGTTTTAAGAGCCATTTGTGGCTTTCCCCATTAATGTGCTATTTATCTTTTAGTAGGAATTGGAGCACACATTTACATTATTTTGAAATTGCAGCAGCATGAAGAAATAAAAAACCTCCACACATGGCCCATTCTGATAATTAATGTTGAGCTCTTCTGAAGACCCTGGGTTAAGTCTAATGTTATTTGGCTTAAGAAATGCATTTTTCCAGCATGGCCTCTCTGAAAGACTAGTTATTCCCAGTGGGAGAGATGGATGAACTATTTTTGGCTACTATGTATCCATTTCACAGTGGCGGAAAAGCGTGAAGGCCTGATACTAGAAGGGCTTCTGTGCTTTTAAGTTTGTGTTTGGCAGGTTATTCCTATTGACAGTTTCTGTATACGTTTATTGTAACTTAGTGTGCACACAAAGCCAAAAGACTATGGAATAGTGCCCCAAATGGAGCTGCTGCCAAGAACTGAGTGTTTCAAAACTGGCTTGCTGAAAACTTAGGCTGTTCATTCAGATTGTGTCCCTCCCCATCCCCCCTTTATCATTTGTAAACAAGAATGCATTTGGAATTCAGTTAGGTTAAATCAGTCTGTGTGAAGTGATTTGTTAAAAACAGTTTCAGTGAATTGACACTACGTATCTATGTGCTTCTATGTGTGTGTGTTTTGCCCCTGGGAATTCCCATGGGTTGACCAGCTTGTTTGTTTCCTTATTATATTTTCCATAGTCAAAGTTGTGTCATATTTAAAATTACGCTTTGAGCCACTCTTAGTATTTGTCATGCTCTTCGCTTGGGGTGACTTCACTTTAGTCTCCCCTATATCTGTGATTATTTAATGGATTCCTACTATTTGACCTATTAATTTGACCTATTAAGTTCATTGGAGTTGCAGTGGTTTGGTGCCATCAAATGGCTAATGACAGTACTTTGACATTAAGCTGGTTGAAATGTCCACTGGAGTTTAAACAGCTCTTATTTGTTACCTTAAAATGTAATGCTCTTCCATTTTTCAGGATGTAAACAATCTTCGACTTTCCCTTATGGATAATCAGAATGTCAGTAAAGAATTTCAAGCTTTGATTGTGAAACATTTGGATGAAAGCCATCTTTTACAAGGTATGTAGCTTATTTGTTGGTGACAGTTCATGAGTTGACCAATGATTAGCTTGTAAGAAGGTACATTTTAGTCCTCACTCATTCTCTCATGATGAGATTTCTAATTTTTTAGAGATTTCCTTTTGCTATCCTCATGCAGCTAGATGATTGAAGGACTTTATATATTCTGAAGTCTCTGAAATTTGGAAAGCTCAGGGCTTATGTGAAAACTAGTAAGGTAAATATTAAAAAAGCTCAGCTGTATTTTGACCTGGAATTTGATATGTTTGAAATTTCAGTCTTAAAAAATCGGTGAAACATGAATTTGGTAATCCTGATCCTCCCGTATATTACTGAGTTTCCTGGTCAGTTCCACAGTCAAGGATTTTAGAAGACTTACCAGTTCTGTTGGGGTTCCTGAATTTGGATCCGCTAAAACTGCACAGGACAGTGAGTTAGGGCTCAGTGAGTTATCTGGTACTACTTGGTCTTATACAAATGCTGGAATAAATATATTGTTTCTTTTTATTCCATTTTCCTATTAATTTACCTAAAAGTTTACAATAAAAAGCTTAAATTTTCTCCTGGCTTTGCTGAAATGTCATCTTCTCATGTTTATAGCAGTATCTTTTAATGTTTATTTTTGCTTACTGCTTTTTTTAAAGACTTGAGAAAATATTATCCTGGATGATGGTATGTTGGGAAATAATGCAAATTGCTCTAAGGATTTTTTTTTTTTTCAGGTGACAAAAACCTAGTTGGTTCAGAAGTAAAAATTTATAGCTTGGACCCATCTACTCAGTGGTTTTCTGCAACCATTGTAAATGGAAACCCAGCATCAAAAACTCTGCAAGTCAACTGTGAGGAGGTAAAAGATGATGCTAATTGCATGTAAGATAACTTGACAGAGAAAGATAATTCTAAAAAGGAATTATAATATCTTATAGGAGCTAAACAGCTTTATTATCTTTATATTAAAATATTAGAGCAGAAAAATAAATAGAACTATTGTTTTTAAAAGAAATTATTTGTAAGAAGCTTCTGTTGTATGTTAACAGAGCTAATTTCTGGTATGTTTCTGAGCATTTTTAAGTTTTCTAGTGTCTTTGTTTTATTTAGATTCCAGCACTGAAAATTGTTGATCCGTCACTGATTCATGTTGAAGTTGTGCATGATAACTTTGTGACGTGTGGTAAGATACATTATTTGATTAAAGCCTTTGTTCTCCTTCCTATCTTTCCTCTTTCTCCTTTTCATGTTAAGAGAAACAGGAAGCCAACCTACCTATTTTTAAATATTTTAGGTAATTCTACAAGAATTGGAGCTGTAAAACGCAAGTCTTCTGAGAATAATGGAAGCCTAGTTTCCAAACAAGCAAAATCTTGCCCTGAGGTAACCTGACTTACGTTTGTCACTTATGTGAAAGTTTCCTTAATTCTAACGGTGCGTGGCCAGCTTGTTAGTGGTTATTAAGCTCTCTTCTCTACTATTCTGTGCTGTCTTGTCTGCTCTTCTTTGCTAGTTCCAGATCTTGGCCATAATTTCTACACTCAAGCAGATGGAGATAATATAAGTTTCTGGTTAACTATTTTTTTTGTGTAAAACATGTTTGATTTTTTGATATTTGCTGAAAATTCTCAATAGATTTGACAATTTCACCCATAAGGAGTGTTTTTGAGGGTAAACTAGTTGTGTGTATCAAGCTGGAAGAAAGCCTGGCATGAGAGGAGGGGAAGAACCTTAGAAATCTGAGCAGGTATTGAAATGGGACTCCCCTTCCTCAGTAATAGAGAGGTTTGATTGATAATTTATGATTGGTTAAACAAACATATTAGTCTTTTAAAGGAAGTGGTTAGTTTACCATTACTAATTTCTGTCCAGGACAGTATAGTTTGGTATGAATGCCACTGTGAGTTCAAGTACTGGATTTAATTCTATTCTGAATTGGTTAGGATTTAGATCAAGAAACTTAAGGCTGTTCCTCCTTTTAGGTGAGTTGAATCCTTAGGACCTATTACAATACAAATAACTTTTTTACAACTTAGGTATCCAGATGCGTTTGTGTTACCGTGACAAAAACACCTTTATGGTGCTCTGCTCCAGGCTGGAGTTTAGAATTTTAAAATTGACCAAGTTGGTGTTAAGATTGTCGACAGCACTTTAGAGGGAACTTTGGGGTTTGTGGGAGTAAGGCAAGGAGAAATGGTATGGGAGTGGGGCAGAGTCAGTTAATGAACCTAGGGCTCTGGATCGGGGCAGACTGGACTACAACATCAGCTAGAACCAAAGTAAGCACGGTGCTACACAAATATATAAGAATCTGACTGCTAAGATGATTGGCTTTCCTGAGTCTTAAGCCTGTGTATAGGCAACAGGAACTTTGACACTTGACCAAAAACTTTGTAAAGCAAGATATATCTCTCTCTTCCTTCCAAGTCTGTAGGCCTCACCTCAGGTTGTTCAGGAAAGAATGAAGAGGTTATTATTGGAAATTAATATTACTACTTTCATTTTTACCTTAAAGTTTACAAGGGAGAAGTAATGTAGTAGGGACTGTAAAGTGAGGATGTCAAGCAAGTGATTCTTGTATCTTGGAGTTAAACTCACAGAGGATATTTTCAAGTACTCCACAGTATCAGAAGCTGAGAAAGAAACAGAGTAGAATAATAACTTGTTAGTTTCAACATTGGATAAATTGTTGGCAATCTAGGGTAGAGGTAATAAAGGCCAGTTTGGAGACGTTAATCGGGGGTAGCCTGTCATGGAGAATGCATCAGTGTAAATAGTTGGTGAGATGAAAAGGAGCACCACATGATGTGTTGAGGAGGGGGCTAGAGAATAGGAAATGGCATTCGGATGGATCTCTGAAGAATCATCCTGGGGTATAGCCTGGACTGGGGTCAGGGAAACTCCTATGGAAGAAGGTGCCAGTTCTTCACAGTGACAAGTTTATCAGTGATGGGACACATAATTGAGCAAGTAAATGTATAGCCTTCAAGAAGGCATGTGTAAATTGTGGTAATATATACGTACATAAGTGATCCTCCCTGCCTGACTCGTACTCTTCAAGGGTAGGGAGCATGTCTTTTTGATCTCTTGTCAGCATTTTGTCCAGCTCAGTAGCTTTGTGTGCTGATTATTGGGTACCATACAGGCTATTTTTGAAAAAAGCCTAAACTTTGGCTAGGAGATAAGTTCCCATAACCTATTTGAGCTTAATTTCTGCATCTAAAATGAGAAACTGAATTTGATGTTTTAAAAATGTGTGTTTGAGCTCTTAAACTCTGTACTAGTCAAATTCTCATTCTAAAGGAAATTGGGATGGTAGATTTGGCTGGAGGTGGGTATTGGCATTTTTAGAAATTCTTTTTATTATGGTTACTGTAAAGGTTATTCCCCTTTATATTTTACTTATTTGTCAAATAAAGATTCTCACATTAAAAAAAAGTTACTCTCATTTTAAAATTTTTAGTTAACCCAGAAAAACAAAAGAAACATCACTTACAATTATACTTCTCACAGACTCTCACTATTCACATTTTGGAATACCTGCCCTCCTCCTGTCTTTTTTTGTTTTTGTTTTTTTCAGGTATAATCATGGAGGCCTTTTAAAAAAACAAACTAAAAACCAAACTGTTTTATAGCCTCCTTGATTCCTTTCCAGTATGTTGTGAATATTCTTCCGTATCAGTAAATATTATTTTTTCATCCTGGGTGGTTCTTGTAATCAGGCAAATTTTGGAAACACTGGCTGGGGCTAGATTCAGAGAGCTAGACAGGTTAAAGGAAGAGGTGGGGAAAGAAAGTTCATTTAAATATGGGAGGGAAAGGTGAGTACGGAGACATACTTGGCACACACCTCACTGTTAGCACTTCCCAGACATGTTGGACTGGCGTGGAGTTCACTTTTAGGGTGGTCTTTGGAAGACAGGTGTTTGGGACTAGGTAGTCAAGACTCTTGATTGCCTTGGTGAATACTTTTGCGTAGAATCAACCTGTTTGCCAGTAACGTCTGGTTCCTTGAAGGTCTTCTCTGCCTAGCAGACTATTCCTCAGAGTTAGGACATTGCTTGGTGAATTGAGAGAGTCTGCTGAGTAGTGTGAGCCAGCAGTGTCCTTTTTAGAATACCGTCATACACTCAATTATATTATCTCCGTCTGCTGGCAGGGAGGAACTATTGCCATGACTGGTATAGAAGACCTTCAGGGAAAACTCTTCAGGTAAGAAGAAGCCTTGACCCTTGTCAAGTCAGAGGCCAGGGCAGCGGTGTGCACGTGAAGATGGGTTTTGGAATTGGAGCCCTATCCCTGTTGAGCCAACCCTTAGAAATTTCTAGAGATATATTTTATTCCTAAAAGGAAAAGCATCCTGAGTTATGCTGTTTGTAACACATGGTGACCATACTGAGAAAATTTTTGTATTTCTCTGCTTTGAGTCCGCTAATCTGTATGCCAGGCACTGTGGCAGAGCGCAGCCCTATAAAAAGTATGCTTCATTATTCTCATTTTACAGTTGAGGAAACTGAACTCAGAGAGCTTAAATAATGTGCTAGGAAGTGTCAGAGACCAGATTCCAACCAAGGTCTGCCCAGTGCTCTTAACCACTGTGCTGGTGTTACCACTCCTCTCCAGATCTTTTCCTTGGTGTGGTAAGTCACCATTGTAAAAACAGCAGATTCCTACTTCCTTCCCTCTGTCCTTCTATCCGTCTTTCCAATGAATATTTATTGAGTATGAAATATATCCTAGACACATTACTGAACATTACTGCCTGGCTCTTGAGGGTAACTCATAGGACTAACATAGCTATTTTGAAATAACTGAGTGCTAACAGCATTCATTCATTCATGTATTCCACCAGTCTTATTTGAGCATCTGCTATGTGCCTTGCTTTATAAGGTTTAACAGTGGACACAAGAGTAGGGTCTGCCCAAAGGAGTGTGCAATTCATTGTGAGGAGACTGACAATAAAAAAGTAATTTATAAAGCATAAGTACAGTATCCTAGTGTGATGACAGTTATAAACATAGTAATATGATAAAGAGTAAGGGGGTGCCTTGTGGGGCACTGCTTTGGAAAGAGTAATCAGAGATTCTGAGGAGGTGACAATAGAGCAGATTTTTTTTTTTTTAAAGATTTATTTATTTGTCAGAGACAGCTAGAGCAGGGACACAAGCAGGGGGAGCAGGAGAGGGAGAAGCAAGCTTCCCGCCAAGCAGGGAGCCAATGCGAGGCTCAATCCCAGGACCCTGGGATCAAGACCTGAGCCAAAGGCAGACGCTTAACAACTGAGCCACCCAGGCACCCCAATAGAGCAAATTTGAAAAGAAAAGGAAAAGAAAAAAAAAGCCACACAAAAACGAACCACAGAGCGAACAAAAAGAACAAACAAAAAGGAAAGAAAAAGTAAAAACCATCAAAAAAACAAAAACGAAAACAACGTAGCGAAAGATCTGTAAACAAAGAGAAAAAAAAAAGTCAAGAGCATAAAAGAACAGACCACATAGAACTCAAGGAGGCAGAAAAGAACCATGAGCAGATAGATAGAAAAAAATAAATAAAAATTTTTCTATAAGAAGAAAAATTAAGATAACTAATTGAAAAACAAAAAAAAAACCCCAACTGCCAAGCAGAGGGAGAAGGAGAACCAGCCAAACTAAGGACCAAAAACCCTGACGGACAGGACCCGAAAAAAGAACCCTAACAGCACAACCCGAACCAAAGACAAACCACAAACCAACAGAAACACATAGGTAACAGCATTAATATAAGTATAATAAAGACTACCCGAAGGTAGAACAAAACTCACAACAAAAAGGAAAAAAACAAAGAACAACTAGGAAAAAAATGCAAATAAGGCCAAATAGAAGACACCGAAAAGTATACCGGAAAAAGGGGGGTAGGGATGGCATAGAAAAAACAAGAGAAACCAAAAACATTGAAGTATGCACTAAAGCAGAATGAATAATGCAAAAATTAATAGTAAGAAAGAGAAACAGAAGAAGAAGCAGCACAACAAGGGAAACCAACACGGGACATGATCCCACGAACGTGCGATAAAGACCACAGACGAACCAAAACACTGAACTGATCGAAAAAACAAAGAAGAAAAACAGAAAGACATTAGAAACAGAGGCACGACTTACTGATCAAATCACACAAGAAAACAGATAAGAAAAAGAAATGGAGGACAAAACAACAGTGGCTTACAAGGACAAAAAAAAAGAATTCAACAACAAACACTAAAACAGGATACACTCAAGAAAGCAATAAAAGAAAAAAAACACTAAAAAATAGTGAATCAATTCTAAAAAATCAGGAACAAGAAAGGAAAATACATGGGAAAAAAAACCCGCGAGGAAGCAGGGAAAAAGGAATAGCAAAGTCAAAATAGGAAAAAAAATAAAGGAAAGACAAATAACACAAAAAAAAAAAAAAGTAAAAAACGAAAAGACAAACAAACTTCTAAAAATACCACACCTAAAAGACAAAAAAACAAAAAGCCAGAAAGAAAAAATGGAACATCCAAACAATAGAATAAGAACAACCAAAGGCAACAAACAAAAAAAAGATGCAAGCAAACACAAGGATAACAAAAAAACAAAAAGGAAAGGAAGAAAAGAACAAAAAAACAGACAGTATTATATCATAAAAAAAAAAGAAAAGAACACAAAAAGCCAATAGAGATGAAGAAAAATCGGAACAAACAGAACTCTCGACAGAACAAACAACAGGAAAAAAGCACAAAGAAACCAGAAGGAAAGATCGAAGAAAAACAATCAGGAATGGACAAAACGTAAATACAAGCAGAAGGAGAAAAGATGAAAAACGCGCTAAGGTTCAAACGCACGCTAGACCAAAAACTCAACAAAACAACTCCAACAGGAAAAAAAAAACAGAAAAAACATAAAAAAATAGATATGGCAGTAAGATAAATGCAAAGGGCAATGGGTGAAAAGGACATAGGCCAAGGAAAAACTAACAAAACCGAACGCCAAAGAACTGGACATATAACTAGATACAAAGAAACAGAAAAAAACCGGAGAAAAAAGAAACAAGGAGAGCACGAAACTCCCAAGCTCGACTTGAGTCAAAAACCGTCACACGTGCACCCCAATAACAAAGAGAATAAGATAGAAACAGTAAAACACAAAGAAACCAGGCCCATGAAATATAAGGAAAGAAAGATAAAACTACCTGAAAAGAGAACGTGTCCCAACTCCCATAGGCTTGTCATGACTTGATATTTTTTGTAGCTTGGGGTGGCCTTCGTGACTTGAAGAGCCATATAAGAGCAAGAACCGTGTTCTCAACCTTTATTGCGTTGTAAAGGCTTCTCTTGGTACCCAGTAGGCACCACTGCCTACAGGAGTCCTATGTGGTCTGGTCTCCTGCCAGCCAATGCAGTGAGTGTGTGGTAGGCACTCAAGTAATGCTAAACTGAATGCGTGTGAAGCTGCTACCATCTGAAGACCGTCGTTGAAAACTCAATTTTGTGCATTGCATTATTAAAGTAATTGCCACATGGCTGCATTTTCCTGACATAATGATCCAGAGGTCTGTAAAAGATCAACTGGTGATCTTTTATAGGAAGACTCAAATTTTGTGAAAAGCTGGCATGATTTATTTAACAGCCTGTGGATAGAAGTCCTTAATTTTGTGATTTATCACTTGTTTTACTCTCCTGTTCTTTTTATTTGGAAATGGTATTGTGCTTATTTAGTTCTAAACCAAGCAAATAAATTTGAATCTTGCTAGGTCTTCATAATTCCCCAACTAGGAACTTTCCTTTTAATAGCTGTTGGTTTGGTGTCTTTTAGGCCTCTCCCAGTATGTGTCCTGTACAGTCTGTTCCCACAACAGTTTTTAAGGAGATACTGCTCGGCTGTACTGCAGCAACTCCACCTAGTAAGGACCCAAGGCAGCAGAGCACTCCCCAGGCTGCCAACTCTCCACCTAATCTTGGAGCAAAAATTCCTCAAGGGTAAGTAAAGCTGTTAAAGGTGTTCATTTGTAATAGGAGGAAAAATGATTTTAGCCATGGTTCATCGTGTGTGAGCTTATCTTTGCTCAAGTGGCAAGAATTAACCTGCATTTGGTGTTTCATAGAGCGTTAGTATAGCTATGTTTGATGTAATGACCAGCCATTCATCACATCTCAGGTTGTCCAGGGAGGTTTTTCATTAGAGTTTTCAAATTGGTCACTTGCCTTCAGAGGTAAAAAGGGTGATAGGCATACAGAACAATGTGGAAAACATTTAAAAAAATGAAAGAGATGTGAGAAAAGAGCAACTTTCTTGACTTGATAAAGTGAGAAGAGTCCATTGAAATACTATAGATAGTTGTAGAATAAATGTCTGCTTTAAGGAAAAGGGAGCACGTTGGTTGTATGTAGAAGACTGAGGTCAATGGGAGTGTGGAGAACCCAGAGACATGGTGATAGTGAGTGGTTCTTATCAGCCCAGATCTCAACTATAGGTGAGAAATGTGGCTGCGGAGAAAATAAGTCATGGAAATGAGGATGCAGTCGTAGGAGGAATAGGTTGCTAATTTGTAGGTGAAGAAAATGAGTAAGAAATGTGAAGTGTAACCAGAGATTTAAAGTGGCTACAAGGTTACAGAGACAAGACTTTTAAGGGAAGACTCTCTCTTAGAAGGGGTGGTGGCCTGTGCAGGCGGTTGATAAAAGCTTAAGATACAGGTCAGAGAGACAGTGGTATAGAAAGGTGGGCTTGGGGCACCTGGGTGGCTCAGTCGGTTAAGCATCTGCCTTTGGCTCAGGTCATGATCCTGGAGTCCCGGGATCGAGCCCCACATTGGGCTCCCTGCCAGTGGGGAGTCTGCTTCTCCTTCTGCCCTTCCCCCTGCTCATGCCCCCTCTCCCTCTCTCTCTTTCTCAAATAAATAAATAAAATCTTTTAAAAAAAGGTGGGTTTGGAAGAGCGCTGCAGTAAGAGGGGAGAGTGGCTGAGCACATTGGTTCATTGGGAAGAAAGTGGGCTGTCCGAGATGAGCTTGGAAGGTGGCCACAGAGCAGTTAGACGGAAGGAGGAGCAATCTTCAGAGTAGAAGGAGGGGATAATAAGAAGTACAGTGTTACCCAAGTCTAATGTGAGTATTTAAATGAAGAAATTCTTGGAGTGCCCTAGCTGGATCAGTCGGTGGGGCATGTGATTCTTGATCTCAGGATTGTTAGTTCAAGCCCCAAGTTGGGCATAGAGCTTACTTAAAAAAAGTTGTTTTTTTCTTCTCAAGGATGAAATCCCTTATTAGAGACATGGGAAGAAAAGTTTAATAGGAAAAAAGAACTTTGTGTTTTGCTGGGGAAGCAACTTTAGGATGAATTTCAGAGAAACAAAAGTTCTTTAAGGATACCTACCACCTTTTAGGGTAGAGGATGGGAGATCATTCTATGAACAAGCAAGTAATCAATTGGCTCTTCAGTTGCTTTGGGTCCTGATCACTAACCAGACAAGAATGGAATTACCCCGTGTCAGGGCTGGTTCCATGTTGTTCCATGTAGCCGGACCGGCTTTCGTGTTGCTGGTGGTTTTGGTTCCATATGATACCCAGTTTATTTTGAGGGAAAGCTAAGGTTCATTATGCTGTAATGTATAGAACTAACTTGAAGTAGTGAAGGATTTATAAGAACATACAGATAGGATTTAGGGTTATATTTTCCTGAGTGTTTAAGATGTTTTTGCAGAGCCATTGACTGATTATTTTTAACTCCAGCTCACAGAAACCTATCCTGTGTTCTCTCATAACATAAGGATTTTTTTCTCTTTCATACTGGTTGCCTTAGGGTACCAAACAATTGTTTTTGAAAGGTAGAGGAGAGGTAGAAGAGACCTAGATGCTAGTTTTTCATATTCTTTGTTTCAGATGTTATAAACAGATTTTACCAGAAGAACTTTCTTCCTGTCTCAATACAAAGCCTGAAATACTGAGAACAAAAGCAGACGTTGTCTGCAAAGTAGGATTGCTGTCTTCAAAGTTCTCTCAGATTGGAACGGGAGACTTAAAACCCCTTAGTGAACCAAAAGGTAGCTGTACCCAGCTGAAGACCAACACTGATAAGGAAAACAAATTGGAATCTGTTTCTCAATCATCGACTGGCCTTCCTAGGAAGTGCTTACCTACAAAGCCTTCTACAGCAGAACTAGAAATTGCCAGTACTCCTGAACTGCAGAAGCACCTAGAATATGCACCTTCTACATCTGATGTCCTTTCAAATAAGCCAGAAGAGAAAGTAGGTGTCAGTAGTAATAGCCCTAATAGTTGTGTGGAAAAGAAGATAGAACCTTCAACTTTAGGATGCCAGTCACAGAATTTGAAGGAGTCTTCAGTAAAAATAGATAATGAAAGCTGTTGTACAAGAAGCAACAATAAAATCCAGAATGGTGAGTGTTTGTACATGTCTTTATTGGTAGAAGGTAAGAGATGGTAGTGGGTACATATATATTTTCTTACCTTATGAGAAAATAATACGAAAATGGCTCTAGAAAAAGTTCATACGGGGCACCTGGGTGGCTCAGTTGGTTAAGCAGCCAACTCTTGATTTCGGCACAGGTCATGATCTTGGGGTCCTGGGATTGAGTCCCATGTTGGGCTCCTTGCTCAGTGGGGAGTCTGCTTGAGGATTCTCTCTCTCCCTCCCTCTCTTCCTCTCCCCCCCTCCCTCTCTTCCTCTCCCCTGCCCCTCCCCTGGCTTGCGCACACTTGAGTGTGTGCACGCACTCTCATAAATAAATAAATCTTTAAAAAAAAAGGAAAAGAAAAATTCCATACAATTGGAAAAGTTCAAAGGAGAAAATAACATCCCAAAATCTCCTCAGAAATGATTACCGTTAATATCTTGGTGTACCTAGTCCCACGTATATTAGAAGTACAGACAAACTATTACACAAATGGGTTTATACCAACAGTTTTATCCTGTGAATTAGTGTAGGTGTCTATCAACATTTTAAAGGCTGCAAGGATTCCATTATGTATGCATTTATCAGATGACTTAATTGGTTCCTATTAGATGGGTAATTAGGTGGTTCCCAGTTCCTGGTTGTAAACAAATAATTTTGAAACAAAATGTAAAGTAATCTGATGATTATTTCATCTTCAGCTTATCACTGATTTTTGTGTGATGGGTGGCTCAGTCGGTTAAGCATCCAACTCTTGATTTCGGCCCGGGTCATGATCTCTCAGGGTTGTGAGATCGCTCTCCGTTCAGGCTCTGCACTGGGCATTGGAGCCTGCCTGGGATTCTCCCTCTCCCTCTGCCCTTCCCCACTCCCATTCCCTCCCTTACTCTAAAAAAAAGATGGAAGAGATGATTGATACTTTATGCTCACGCAAGTAGTTCAGAGCTGCAATTTTCTTTTTCCTTTTTTTTTTTTTTTAAAGACAGAATTATACCACCACCTCTAGATAAAAGGACTTTTGGTTAAAGATTTTAACGACAGACTGGAACACCAGGCAGAGTTTCTTTGCCTAAGGGGAAGTCCTACTGCATTGACAATTTAAAAACTGTGTACAAGCATACCTCATTTTATTGTGTTTTGCTTTATTGCACTTTGCAGATAACTGCATTTTTTTTTTTTTTAACAGATTGAAGGTTTGTGGTATCCCTGTGTCAAGCAAGTCTCTTGACACCATTTTCCCAACAATATTTGCTCACTTGTAGTCTCTGTGACATTTTGGTAATTCTTGTAATATTTCAAGCCCTTTCATTATCATTATATTATGGTGATTTGTGGTCAGTGACCTTTATGTTACTGTTGTAATTATTTTGGGGTGCCACAGACCACACCCATCTAAAATGAGACTTAGTTGATAAATGTTGCATTGTTCTGACTGCTCCACCAACCAGCCATTTCCTCATCTCTCTCCCTCTCCTCCGGCCTGCGTATTCCCTGAGACACAAAAATACTGAAATTAGGCCAGGTAATAACCCCACAGTGGCTTCTAAGTGTTCACGTGAAAGGAAGAGTTGCACGTCTCTCACTTTGAATCAAAAGCTAGAAATGATTAGGCTTAGTGAGGAAGGCATGTTGAAAGCCAAGATAAAGCTAGGCCTGTCACGCCAGACAGTTAGCCAAGCTGTGAATCCAAAATAAAAATTCTGGAAGGAAATTAAAGAGTACTACTCCAGTGAACATGTGAATGATAAGAAAGTGGGACAACCTTACTGCTGATACGGAGACCGTTTTAGCAGTCTGGATGGCAGAGCAAACCAGCTCCAACATCCTTAAGCCAAAGCCTAGCCCAGAGCAGGGCCATTACTTTCTTCAATTCTATGAAGGCTGAGAGGTGTGAGGAAGCTGCAGAAAAGTTTGAAGCTATCAGAGGTTGGTTCATGAGGCTTAAGGAAAGAAGCACCTCCATAACATAAAAGTGCAAGGTGAAGCAGTGAGTGATGGAGAAGCTGCAGCAAGTTAGCCAAAGATCTAGCTCAGATTATTCATGAAGGTGGCTACACTACACGACAGATTGGAGGAAGATGCCAGCTCAGACTTTCATAGCTAGGGAGGAGAAATCAGCGCCTGGCTTCAAAGCTTCAAAGAACAGGCTGATTCTCTTATTAGGGGCTAATGCAGCTGGTGGCTTTAAGGTGAAGCCGTGCTCATTTACCATTCTGAAAACCGTAAGGCCTTTAGGTTATGCTAAATCCACGCTGCCTGTGCTCCATAAATAGAACAACAAAGCCTGGATGATAGCACATTTGCTTACAACATGGTTTACTGACTATTTTAAGCCCACTGTTCAGGCCTACTGCTCAGGAAAAAAAAATGCCTTTCAAAGTATTACTGCTTACTGACAATGTACCTCTGCACCCAAGAACTCTGATGGAGATACACAAGATTAATGTTTTCATGTCAGCGAATAGCACCCATTCTGCAGCCCATGGATCAAGGAATAATTTTGACTTTCAAATCTTACACGTTTTGTAAGACTATAGCTACCATAGATAATGTTTTTTCAATGGATCCAGGCTATTGCACACTTAATAGATTGCAGTATAGTATAAATACAATGTTTACATGCATTGGGAAACCAAATACTCATTTGATTTGCTTTACTGTGATACTCGCTTTATTGAAGTGGTCTGGAACCACACACCTGCTGTGTCCCCAAGGTATGCCTGTACTCTAGAGAAAATGCTACATTGTATTTCATACTGCTTCTGTTAAGTTTGAGGATGCATTACACTGATGGTAGTTAACACAAGTTCTCCTGTTAGAATTAGTAGAACTAAATGGCTTCGGTATGCAAAAGGTTCAGAGCTATTACAGTTTAAAAATACCTTTGATAATTGTCAGCTGTGTGGGAAAATTAGCATGGATTTTGATAGCTTTTAAAAAAAACTTAATACAAAACACTATGCACTTTGATAAGTAGGAAACGAAATGTATGCACAATTAGCTTTTACCTCAGGCTTCTGAAGCTAGAGAGAAAATGGATGGTTTGACTGTTGGTCTTTGGATGCAGAGTTAAAGGAGTAGGAAAACCTGTCTTTGCCTAGTAATAACTTCTAGCCCAGCTTCTACATTCTTGGGCTTAAGTTGTGATAGGGCTGTTAATTTGCATAAAATTAATTGCATAAGATTATACTGTTTCTCTTGAATTATATAACTCCCCAAAGAAAGTGAATATTCATAACCATATTTCTGTTCTATTTTTTTTTTCTTTTTGAGTCATCAGGCCTTACATTCAGATAGTTTTTGGAGGCAAATTAATGTTTTGTAAAGAAACAGTAAAAATTCTGTATCGATAAGCACATTATAGGTCTATAAATGAGTTACGGAGTCTCGCTTTGTCTCTTTATGTGTTGTACAACTGTACACCAGCTAAAGTGATTTTTAGAGAAATGAAAAACCTAATTAAATGTCCTGGTGCATGCTGTCTACTGGGACGTCTGGTTGAAGAGCGAGAGAGTGTGATCAGGATCTCTGCGCTGTGTCCACTGGTACTGCTTGTGGGTATGGAAAGACTCGACTGGAAGCTATTTTGTCCCCTGCGTCCCTCTCCAGTTTGGGGCTAGAAAATAAAAGCAGGCTGAGTCGAAGAACAGCTGTCTTTTTTCTGTTAGGTAAATGTGTGACTCCTTAGAAGTTGGCATATCTTTTTTCTCTTGGCTCTCCTCCAAATTTGTGAGAATCATTGATTGGGTCAACAATTGCTCTCCTCGCTAAAGAGCTAGATTTAGGTAGTTCAGCTTGCTTATTTATAGGTATTTCCTCTTGTAAGTGAGGGCAGAACAGATAACCTTTGGCCTCTTTGCCCATGGTCTGTGAAAACCTGGTCCAACCTGGAGGGTGATGTTTATTTCAGTATCTGAGTGATAAAATTACATCCTTGAACTATTGATCACTTTTATTTTCTGTTCTTGCTGTACCTTTTCTTTCACTATAACTGAATAAGAATGCTTAAGGGATCACGGCCTGACAGCCAGCATCCATTTAGCATTTTGCAGTGTGCTCTGGCTCTACTTTAAAAGAGAAGTAAGATGGGATGCCTGGGTGGCTCAGTCAAGGATTTGCCTTCAGCTCAGGTCATGAACCCAGGGTCCTGGGATCGAGTCCCGCATCGAGCTCCCTGCTCAGCGGGGAGCCTGCTTCTCCCTCTGCCTGCTGCCTCCCCTGCTTGTGCTCTCTCACTCTCTCTTTCTCTCTGACAAATAAATAAATCTTTAAAAAAATAAGAGAGGTAAGATTAGAATACCGCTAAGGTCATTATTAAAGATGCTTATTTTATTTAAAGCCTTCTTTGCTTTGAGATCTTTCACTTTTCCTCCACAACTACTAACCTCTCCCAACTGTCTCTCAACTGGTTCCCCAAAAGTTGTTTCTTGGGTTTTGTTTTTGTTTTTTGTTTGTTTGCCAAATAATCTACATCCTTGCTCCCTTGGACCCTAAGGGAAGGTCTTTTCTGTTGCTTTCATATGAAATACTCCTCAAGGCTCCTGACTATTATAAATAAATAAATAAATCTGTTTATAAATAGATTCATTTCTGTGTTATTTGGGTTGATGCAATTGACGCAAAGATCACGCTTCCTGTCAAAACTCTACTTTTTCTCCCCTTTTTCTTTAGGAACTGTGTTAACATTTCCTTTGAAGTTCTCCTGCCCATTACACGTTAAGACTTAAAACATGCCTTTACTTAAAATCATAATCCTATCTTTAGTCACTCCCTTCATCCTGAATGGAACATATGTGTGAAGGAAATTGAAGAAGTATCAAGGGTCAAGTGACACTTCTTGGAAGCATTTAGAAGATAGTTCTTGTTTTATAGACCCAGGGGCCTGTGTGGGAAAACTATTTGGCTGTTACTATATTTAGAATGGTTAGCTTTTGCACAGTGCTCTAGAAAACACTTGTGTGCTTTGAAACACAGTCTTTGAAAAGTGACAGAATTGACTTGCACACGGATCTCTGTTGAGGTGAATCTATCTCTGGGCATTGTTAATGTTGCAATGAGTTTAAGTATCTGATTTGGAAGTCTTCCTAAAATAGTTTTTTATCTAGGGTTGTGAATAGAAGTACATGCTACCTCGGAATTACGAGTCTAGTTGTTGAAATTGGGGTTTTAAGTTGCCTTGCCAAAAGGATATTACCAAATGAGAATTATTCTATAAAGCTAGTAAAGCTTTCCAATTATTCTGTTGGTTGTTTTATGTTAAGCCAGTTTTAGAAATTACAGTTGAATCAGTATTTAAGGAGTTCTCCCTTTGGGAAAGCTGGCCTTCGGAAAAGAATTCAGTCAAACGTTGGGGTGACTTAAAAATTTGAGGTCTCATTTCTTTAATCTTTTTTCCTAGCCCCCTCCCGGAAGTCGGTTTTGACAGACCCAGCCAAGCTCAGGAAGCTGCAGCAGAGCGGTGAGGCCTTTGTGCAGGATGACTCCTGTGTCAACATTGTCGCCCAGCTGCCCAAGTGCAGGGAGTGTCGTTTGGACAGCCTCCGCAAGGATAAGGAGCAGCAGAAAGACTCGCCTGTGTTTTGTCGCTTCTTTCACTTCAGGAGGTGAGGCATTTGGGGAAAAGCTCAAGTAATCTGGGCCCCATAGCATACTTTTCCCCCCTCCTTTTCTATCAACAGTAAATCTAGAACTTACAGAGGGTGAGGATTGCATCTTTAATCTCTGGCTTTGAATGTCTAGATCTTATCCCATGTTATTTCCTTCTCAATCTCCCTTTTAGTTTGTTTTTAAAGGAGAGAAGCCTAAACATACAACCTTCTCTTCTTAAAACTAATAAATATTATAAAAAATGCTGAAATTTCTAAAAAAAAAAAACAAAAAACGAGAAAAAAAACAACCACCCCCTACAAATAAACACTGTTAATTTTCAGTGCATTTTAGTGTTTGTATGGTCATAAAATATATTCAAGCATACCTATTTGGGTATATAGTATATACTGTGTGGAATCTTACTTTCTCAGTACGTAGTAGGAACCCCTTGGTCATGGTAGCTTTTTTCTGCAAAAACTTTGATTACCCAGGTAGGAACCCATAATAGTATTTGAAAGTTCACTTAACCAATTTTCTTACTGGTGTTAAGATTATTTTGTGGGGGGGCGCCTGGGTGGCTCAGTTGGTTAAGCGACTGCCTTCGGCTCAGGTCATGATCCTGGAGTCCCGGGATCGAGTCCGGCATCGGGCTCCCTGCTCGGCAGGGAGTCTGCTTCTCCCTCTGCCCCTCCCCCCTCTCATGTGCTCTCTCTCATTCTCTCTCTCTGAAATAAATAAATCTTTAAAAAAAAAAATTATTATTTTGTGGGGTTTGTCACTAAAAATAATACACGATCATCCTGTCCCCATCTCTCATTGTTGACTTTGGAAGGATTACTGGAAGTGGCATTACCAGGTCAGAAGCCTTGTGTGTTTTAAGGCGTTGATATATATGTTCTGCCAAATTGCCCTACAGGAAGCTTGCACCTGTGGCCAGGCCCTCAGGCAGCATTCCTGTTGAAGCATTCCTGTCTCTGTGTACTTTTGCCAGCAGAAAGAGGCATATGTTTTTTTAAAAAATCTTTCCTAATTTTATAGGCAAAAACTTTCATTTTTATACTGTATTTTGTTAAGTCAAATTTTCTCTAAATTCTTCTATCCTTAGTGAAGACAAAAGCTGTTTCTTCTTTTTTGTTGTCATCTACTTTTTGATAAATGAGCAGTGTTATTCTGGGTATGTTTCACTTTCTCAGAAATGTAGATACTTTCAGGCTCGACTAGTCCTAATCATAAACACAAGTGTTGACCTGAATTTCTTCCTATTCACCTCCACCCCTTTAGTTTTATCAAGATTAAAGAGTTGCTGAAGAACTGAATTAAATGCACAGGTATTTTAGGTCATTGATTATATCAGTTCTGGTAACTTTTAGATTTGGGCTTATTTTACTGAACTCTATAGAGTCTTTTAGATGGTAGCTTGCCCCATTCGTTCCTGAGTAAATTGCAAATGTACCATGATGAAGTATGTGTCTAGTATTTAGAACTGTAATAATTGGTAGCATGTTAGCGTAGCCTTATGTTAACATAGCTTGAATAACACGTGGCCCAGAATAAGTTCTTAATAAAGGTTAGTTCCACTTCCTCTCCGGAGAATTTTTTACACAGGTAGATGTGTTAAGATGCATATGCCATGGGTTCTGACATATGTTTTGAAGGGAGCACAAAATGTTACGCTTTGTACAGATCTATGTATTCTTGTTACACACTTAGCCTCATTATGGTTCCTTTGCTCTGAAAGGTGTAAGTGGACTGGAGGGGAGAGATTGTTTGATTTTGGTTTTAAGTGGCAGAGGCCTTTTGAGGAGGAGACAATTAGTTTTTTCTTTTGAATATTACTAGAGCTTTTTTTTAAACCACTATTTTGTAACCATCTAGAAATCACTGATTTTATGACTTAGCTGTTTTCCCATTTTTGACTTCTTTGAAGAGGAAAGTGCCTTTGCTTAATGTTGCGTAGTAGAAGCCAGTCTAGTGGAAATTAGAACAAATTCATTTCTTGGGTAAAAAGAATGTCATAATTTAGGGGCGCCTGGGTGGCTCAGTCGTTAAGTGTCTGCCTTCGGCTCAGGTCATGATCCCAGGGTCCTGGGATTGATCCCCGCATCAGACTCCCTGCTCTGCGGGAAGCCTGCTTCTACCTCTCCTACTCCTCCTGCTTGTGTTCCCTCTCTCGCTGTGTCTCTCTCTGTCAAATAAATAAATAAAATCTTTAAAAAAAAAAAAAAAGAATGTAATAATTTAAAGAATAGAGCCTTTTTTTTCCCCCCCTGATGTTTAAAGAGAAGATTAAGGCTGTCATTATTAGCCTCCTCCCCAAGTTTGTTTCTTAATTACACTCCCTGCAGATAAAATAGGAGGGTTAGGGTCGCAGTACTAAAGACCAATTGCCAAAGCCTATTTGCCATCTCCCCCTTTGAAATAGCTTTCGAATTCGTTTTTTAGTATTGAAACTGTCTCTTAATTTGGGCTGTCGATTAAAAATTTGCATCTCTCCTTTGGACCGCTTGAAATTAATTCTCATCTGTTAAGCAACTCCCAGTGTCCTTCCAGTTCATTCTACACTCTTCTGGACAAACGGTTTTTCTAAAATACAACTTTAGTCCCGCATCGGGCTCCCTGCTTAGCAGGGAGCCTGCTTCTCCCTCTGACCCTCCCCCCTCTCATGTGCTCTCTCTCTCTCTCTCATTCTCCCTCTCTCAAATAAATAAATAAAATCTTTAAAATAAAATAAAATAAAATACAACTTTAGGTGTATCTCATGGGCTTGAAGACTTGGTAGCTGGCCAGTGACCAATGGAGAAATCACGATCCCTGCATTTTTCTTTCTTTTGAATGAAATACTGTTTCCTTGACATGCTTCTCTTAGCTAATGTCTACCTTTTCTGGTAAGGCCAATCTTAATCACTATCTCTACTATGAAGTCTTAATATTAGTCCTACAAAACTCATAGTCAGTACTTCCTCCTCGGGCTCCTATAAGATTTAATGATTGTTACGATATCCTACCTACTTCACTGTGTATTTTATGTCTACTTCTGTGTCTCCCAACTAGATTGACATATGTCATTTCGAATGAATTTTGAAAAAATTCAAAACTAATATGTAGCTTAGGAAAAACAGGTGTCAAAGATATTGAAAGAGAATCTTGAGAAAGTATTCTGCCTTTTTGCTCCACTTCAGGTACTTAGGTCCGTCTTAACACTGCCTCCCATTCCAGAAGCTTACACAATAATTTGCAGCTAGGATTCATATGGGTGCTGACTTCCTCGTGGATTTGCATGGTCATGGCTTCAGTGACTGTCTAGGGTTAGCCTTCCTTTGCTGAGCATTATTCTTGAAGGAGTGGTTGTATTCAAATCTGATCAGATTATCTATCACCTTCTGTTTTCCGTTTTCTTCTGTGGTGACTTGTGATTGTCCTTGCTGTTAAGTCCCAAGTCTGGAAGGTTCAACAGCTGCCTCTGGAGGCGGTATGATTAGATCTTGGTTGAAGTGCAAAACACCTCTCCCCTGCCTCCCTCCCCATGTCCTCTGAGGGAAAACTTGGAAATTTTTAAATCTTTTAAATCTTTCCCCTGACATTGCCAAGTAACAATTGGCTATAATTAGCCACTGAGATTATAGAAAACTGGGAAGGAATTTGTTGATCTTAAATAGTAACTACAAGATGTAAATCCAATTTCGTGTGTGTGTGTAACACACTTTTTTTCCTCCACTTCCTCTAGGTTACAGTTCAACAAACATGGTGTATTGCGGGTAGAAGGCTTCTTAACACCAAACAAGTACGACAGTGAAGCAATTGGCTTATGGTTGCCTTTAACCAAAAACGTTGTGGGGACTGATTTGGACACTGCGAAGTATATCCTGGCCAACATTGGAGACCACTTCTGTCAAATGGTGATTTCTGAAAAGGAAGCTATGTCAACTATTGAGCCACACAGTAAGAGCATCTCTTAGGGGGTAGGATTTTTGAGTCCAACTTGATTTTGTTCCTAAATGACACCTAAGTTCTAATTGTATGAGTTTCATTCTCACCCAGAAGTTTGGATGACTTTGGTATAATGAAGTTGTATTTTCCCTTTTATAACTGCCTGTTGGTTTCATCAGAGTCAGTCACCTATCTCTGGGGTTTATTTTGGGGCAGGTATCAAAGGAGTGAAACTCCTTTTTTTAAAGAAAGGTGAAGGTGAGGTAATGGTAGAATTTGCACAGCCTTTATAAGCAGTGTGGGCTCATCAAAAGGGGATGAGGCCTCAGGTTGGGTTATTTTTAAGACAAAGGTTCATAATCAGGAATGCATTTCAAAGAAAATAAGAACGGACAGGCTCTGTTCTGTACCTACTAAATCAGAATCTGGGGGGCTGGGTCCCAGGCATGAGAATGGGCATAAGCTCAGGTGAAAAGGATTCTGTTAGAGTCAAGGTTTTAACAGGATACTTGGAGGTTCCAGCTGGGTGAATGCCGATGTCTTCTCCTCTTTAAGAGCACTCTAACAGTGATCTGGCAGTCCAGTAAACCACAGGGATCACTGTGAGTGACACATGAGAACTGTATGATATCTGGGAGAACAGCACACCTCTGTTTTTTATGCCTCTAAAAGTGAGGTATCCAGCCAGAAGCACCCAGGAGCAGCTGTTTTTAAAGTCTCACGCTTCCTTCCATCATTTTATCTTTCCCAAATGATTGAAACTTAAAAGTGAAGCCTTTCATTTCTCATATATATCTTTTCAGACTTTGCATAACCAAATATGTTTCGATACAAGCATCCGCACATACCAGTCTTGAGAAATTTGGTTGTAGGTACCAGAAACTAATTGAAGCTAGCTTCACAAAAATAATTTATTGGATAAGTACAGATACTGTTAAATTTCCAAGTCCATGGAATGGGAACTGAGGCATTCGGAGGAGCAGGAATTCAGAGCTAGAAAGAGAATGGGATCGTGAGCTCTGGGGTGCAGCCAAAGTCATGAGCCAGAGTACTCGGCCAAAGTAAATCACTGTAGAATCACTCCATTCTGTTGGAGTAGTAGAGACTCTTAAAAATCAAGGATCTTATTGAAGTTGTTTTCCTGTAATCTTGTATTTAGGATGAGTGGCACTGGTTTCTAATTTTAGTAGAGATAAAGAGTTTCCTAATTACATACATTTAAGTAAAAGTAGTGAGGTTAAAGAAAAATTCTTAAGTAACTGATCTAGAGGTTATTTAGGTAGGTATATAAATGACTGGAATGTAGAAACACTTCTTTGAAATATATTAGTAACTTCACTCCTGAATTAGCAGGACTTGTTAAAAGCAACTGATATTTTTTTCTTTGCTCAAGAGAAGTCATCTGAATAATGGTACAGAAAAAGGTACAGATGGGGCACCTGGGTGGCTCAGTTGGTTAAGCGACTGCCTTCGGCTCAGGTCATGATCCTGGAGTCCCTGGATCGAGTCCCGCATCGGGCTCCCT